AATTAATTAAATGGAAATAATCAAGTCAAGTACAATACCTTGAGAGAATTGCACTAATACAATTCCTGAGTAAATGTACTTAGTGACTGTCTTTCCCTGCTTTTAACCTCTTTTACTGCATGTAGCATTGTTTTAAAGAAAATACAACAGAATTCCATTTTGTGCAACATGAAATATTTTTTCAGCTGCACTGGTTTTCCACATATTTAATTCATTAAATCACCACCCTACTCTCTCCTCGTCTTGTGTACATCACAATTCCATTAAACTCTAACTACATGTATGTATGTAGCCACTTGCCTCCATGTTCCTCATATTCAGGACTCTGGGGATTATAATCTGTCATGTGAGCGCTGCACGGCATCAGCAGCAGCAGCCCTGTGAAATGGCTGACAGTGTTGAGTTGCTGTTGGATTTTGTTCTGGAGTGGTTGAACCACTGTCAGCAGCAGTAGAGCAGTCGCCCTTGCGGTGGAGGAGCAAAGAAACACAAACGTTCTGTAACCCTGAGACACAATCTTAGTCTGGGAGGAGAGAGGAAACACATTCAGAGGAGAGCTTTAGAAAGGTGCACTGGCAATGCACATTATTTCCCAGGTGACAAGTGGCAGAGGCTGCAAATGACTGGCTACTGGCTGAGGTGTCAGTGCATTAGTGTAAATTATGACTGTAACAAAACCCTGTGTGTGTGACAGAGGGGGCTGAATAAACACGTCAGCTGCACAAGCAGGGATATTGTTCTTATCATTATTATGGCTATCTTTCTTTATTAAGTCTGACTGTCTGCTATTAAGGCAACTCCCTCCTCTTCATGTACAAGCCACAGTCGCTTGTGTGGTTTTGATGAAGCACAGCAATCCTTTTTAGCTTACTGCAACCGCTTGCTTACTCTCATCCAATTAACAGTGTCGGTCCAGCTTGAGTCTGATGAACAAAACCTGTTAAACACTCCCTCTGATACATACGGACTCAATCAGTCAAAGCAGCAGCACTGGCAGTTGCAGGCTGACTATTCAGTGCAAACCTAATTTAAAGAAACCAATAGATCAGATGGTGTAATACTTTTAATACTGTGTGAGAAAGTTACCTCTGCATGAGTCACCGGCTGAGTGAAGAGGTGGACAGCCCCCGCTGTGCAAGGTTTCATTTCATTCACATCAGTTTCTGAATGCAAAGCTTGGAGCTAATGGATGTAATGCTAATGAGTGAAAATACAGTGAAGGCTGGTAATGTTTATAGTTATTAGGACCACTTCAAGAGCTGAGATGTCAGGGTTTGCCTGTCACCCTGACCTTTGCTTTGAAGCACAGACTGCCTCACCATGCCTGTGATATGATTCCATGGCATGGCATTTGCTTCACTCAAGTTCAAGACCCCTCCCAGTGATATCAAGTTTTTAACCTTATGAACATGTCCATATGGTGTTTATATATGCTACAAGACATATCATGAACAAACTAAGCAGTCAACATCATGGCTGAGCATTTTTGCCTTGGAACTGCAGTATACCAATGACAAAAACACGGATTCAGACTTCCAGGGTTTGTTGCTTCACAAACTCAAGGAACCAATCGCGTCAACTTGTGAAACAAAGGCTATCAGAGGAGAAGCAGGTGAAGCTACTGTTGGTGTTTTGCAAGTTAGGTTTCACTTTCACTCCAACTTGATATTAGCAACACATTATTAGCTGTTTGCTAACATAGTCAAGCCAAAAGCTAATATTATCTGTTACCGTTTGAGGTGAGCAGTTATGCTTGAGCTGCAGGACGGTGGCTAAAGGGCAGGACTAATTTGCATGCTAATTGAGGCAAAGGTATAGATTTAAATCTTACTATATAATGAGGAAAACTCTGTCTCTAGGTGTGTCTGTGTGTCTGTTCCACATTTTTCTCCTCACTGACTTGGTCAATCCATGTGAAATTTGGCACAGTGGTAGAGGGTCATGGGAGGATGCAAATATTACATCAATTGGCCAAAGGGGGGCGCAACCGATTGAAATTGCAAACTTTGAATGGGCTTATCTCATGCCCCATATGTCATAGAGACATGAAACTTTGCACAGAGATGCCTCTCCTCATGAAGAACACATTTGCCCCAAGAACCCATAACTTCCCAGTATATAGATATCGAATTTTATGAAAAACACTTAAAACCGATTTAGGAAGCTCCTTCCTAGGAAGTTTGACCGATCTGCATGAAACTAGGTGAACATAATCTAGGGACCAATATCTAAAGTTCCCTCTTGGCAAAAGTTGGAAAACGTACTAAAACTGAGCTTCTATAAGGCAATGAATATTGCGGAGGGCATGGCTCACCACATAAAGGTGTATCACATCTCAAGGGTTTCACCGATCACCACGCAACTTTGTAGGCATATGACCACACATAATCTGAGGATCAAACAAAATGGGGGCACTAGAGAGCTAATTTCTTATGTAGGCCTAACCGGCATATTGATTTTTACTAAACTTGGTAGATATGTAGAACAGGACGCCTCAAGGTGACTGGAGAAACTCTAATTGGCAACTGGGTGGCGCTCTAACAACAGAAAACTGCTTAAAAATGGCTAAAATGCGACCGATTGCTGTGGCTCCCCCTGTGGCCGAATGTTGTTGTTGTTGGGTTTTTTTTTACAGTGCTGGCAGGGCTAACTTGTTAACCAGGGGGAACCTGAACTTCTGCAGCATTGCTGTCCCAATATCAGTGATAACAGCAGTAACTGCAGAGTGGCGGTGATAGCCAGTGGGATGCACACATGTACTAACATGAGCTGCTGGAAAACAACAAAAAAACAGAGAAGCTCGGATTTCAACATGCACAGAGGTACTGTTACTTCATTCTCTGCTCAGGATGCCATTACTCCACTATATCTGTGCATATCAGACAATTGTTAGCAGCTGTATTAATGCTCTGAATGTCACATAGAACTCCTTTATCATGTAAAACATGCAGTACGGTATAATGTTTAATGTTCCAGCTGTTAGATTGTGACATTTCTGTAGTTTGTTTTTTTCTTTTAGAGAATTGAATACTGAGGCCTGTAGTAAATTTGACACTGCTGGACATTTGTCATTCTTCTAATGTTCATAGACCAAACATTAAATCTATTTATCAAAAAAAAAATATTGTCAGATAAATCAGTAAAGATCAAATTGTCAGCTGCAGCCCTAATAATATCAGCCCACTGAATTATAGCTTGTGCACGTTTATTAGACTTAAAGGCAACATTTCAATCCAACAGTCTTTGTTAGGAAAATAAAAAATGCAACATGACAAATGGTGTGAAAACAAATAAAACAGCACCATAGTACAAGATTCAGTAGATATTAGACTCCCTAGAAATATTGTTTTGTTAGAGGAGAGAGGAATACACAAACAGGGAAAATGTAACTGCTGTATCACAGCTATGGGATGACCTGCATGATGAAGTACACCAGCACAATTCTGGAAAAGGTTTCAGCAGAATAAAAATCATGTAAACAATTTTGGATGTCGGGAAAATAAGGCAAGGTGTGAAAGAAATGCTGATCAGAATGCACACTGAGACAGGGAAAATGAATCCAAAAAGGTTTGTGTTAGAGGAGCCATTTTTCAGAGTCTAATAATAATATTTTCATAATGTAAGAGTGTGAAACAGCCTGATGCAGGAGAGCTTGCCCTGTTAGATTCATTGCTGGATTCGGAACCAGTGATATTTCATCAACGTTTGACATGCAGCACAGCAGTCGTCAACATCAACTGTAACCAGACGGTTTCCTGTCGGGGGAATTGATCCAACAGATGTTTTTTTAGGGGGTAGGTCTGGGGCTCTGGGATCTCACTTGAATATCCACATGAGCTTTTGACTAACAAGGCAGCACAGACGTTATAGTGATCTGACTGCTGAAAAACATGTCTCTGTTTCTATGCACAACCACGATGACCCCCCCCACCCCCCCCCCCCCCCCCCCCCCCCCCCCCCCCCCCCCCCCCCCCCCCCCCCCCCCCCCCCCCACCCCCCTCTATTAAAGGGGTGTTAGCTCATCAAAGCCACGAGGCGACTTTGACATGCTTCACTCATCACTGATTGGTATAATGGAGTTGATTTCTACTTGCTATTCAGTTCAGCTCGNCATGATGCCCCCTCCCCTCCCCACCCCCCCCCCCCCCCCCCCCCCCCCCCCCCCCCCCCCCAGCCCCACTTTCCTCTTCACCCCCATCTATTAAAGGGGTGTTAGCTCATCAAAGCCACGAGGCGACTTTGACATGCTTCACTCATCACTGATTGGTATAATGGAGTTGATTTCTACTTGCTATTCAGTTCAGCTCGTCAGTAGAAGGCTCCCTCTCCACCCACAGTCCTCTCCTCCATCAACCCCCTCTACGTATGGTAATAAGCATTGCAGCAGTGGCTTCCCTCATCCTCTTATACACATCTCTTTCATTCCTAATTCATATTTCTGTGTGTGTGTGTGTGTGTGTGTGTGTGTGTGTGTGTGTGTGAGACAGAGAGAGAATACACATATTGGCTGCACTGCTGCAGATTGCGCTGCTCTGTATCTTTGATTTGGATATAATCGTTGGATTATAGAAAGAATCCCTTAAAAATGATAAATTTTGCTCTAATTGATGAGTGTGGTTTTGTTGTTGATATTGCGTGGTAATTATTGGATAATCTTTTATGTGTGTGTGTGTGCTTGGTGTGTGTATCTCCGCACCGTTGGGTGGATCCCACTGTGTTCTATGGTGCTTTCAGCTCTGTGAGACGGGGAAAAAAAACAGAGTTTTTCACAGCTAAGAGTCTAACTCCAAAACATCAAAGACACACAGAGAGGGAGAGAGATAAAGGGAGGGAGGGGTATGCCCTGTATCCGGGTAATGATGGAGGAGAGAGATGGAGGGAGGAGGAGGAGGAGGAGGGGGGGCAAAAGACAGAGAGAGAGAGAGAGAGAGAGAGAGAGAGAGGAAAGGGAGGGGGAGAGGGAGAGAAAGCAACCAACCAGTGTAAGAAGAGAGAGAGAAGAGAGAGAGGGATGTGAACATGCTGAAGGGAGGGAGGAGGGGAGGATAGCGAGCGAGGGATGGGGAGCTTGCCGGACTGAGCGGATAGAAGTGTTACTACAGAGCTGCTGCTGCTGGAGGACGGGCTGGGAGCCGAGGATAATGCTCCATCCCTCAGCGTACAGCAGCACGCCGGACACCTTGTAATTTCTCGTGGCGGCGGCGGCAGCGGCTGTGGAGGAGGAGGAGGGTCTTCATTGTTGCAGCAGTGATTGTCTTTTCTTTTCTTTTTCTTTTTTCTACCCCCTTTAACCACAGTCTTTTTCATCATCTTCCTGCTCGCCCCTCCTCACTCCTTATTCCTCTGCAACTGGCAACCGCTGGGCTCCCCCCTCCCCTCCTCCTCTCTTTTCTACTTCTGTCCCTTTTTTCCAGAGGAGGGATTTCTGTATTTCATCAGGGATTGTAGAAGACAGTAAGAATGTTTTCTGTCTTTTCTGCTTTTTCTGTTTTCTCTCACGGAGACATGCATGAAGATGGAGGGGGGTTGCATGGCAAAGCAGAGGAGAATATGATTATATGTTTGTGGAGGGATAGCGTTGGAGTCAAAAGGGTGTATGTGTGTGTGCAGCAGGAGGTGGGGGGGTGGGGGGGGTTTGCATGTTCAAGTTTACTGCATTGATGTAACACATGAACTCCTCTCTCAAATGGCAGGAAAATCCCAGCGTTATTAAGGTTAAGATCTGCAGCAATTGCACAGAATAAACACTTGAAATGAAAAAAAAGCAAGAAAAGCAAATGGATCTTTGAATGGATCCGCTGAGGGGACGCACAGACACAAGGAAGGCAAACCAAGCAGTGTTTGGCAGTGGATTACTCCTTGATGCCAGAAGATAAATACTCAACCTGGGGTTTACAGAGAGACAACAGAAGAGGGGACAAGAGAGGAAGTGGGTAAATAAAAAGAGCAGGAGGTAGCAGTGGAGGGACACAGATTTGTAGATGTGGCATGACAGAAGCAGACAATGTATGTAGCACCATCAATAAAAACAGATACAGGTATGAGAGATATGAGCTCTTGGATTTAGCATGTCAAACTGATAATCCCTCCCACATACATTTCCATGCAAGCCAAGGGTTACTGATGATCTGGTGCACAGCTCATATTAAACAGCTAACTAGTGCATAAAATCACCCACTAAATCACACTTTGGCTTCCCTGACATATTGACTGTAGCATGTAAGGCAAGGCATGGATGGATGAACATGGACACAGATGCACCTCAGCGTTAAAACTGTGTGGACTGATACGCTCAGGAGCACATAGAGTAAATGTTTTGCCATGCATTAAAACAGCAGATGAATTTCATAGCGGATGTTCAAACTGCTGTCTTCTCACTTGAGCGGCTGCCTCTACAAGAAAGGGGTCACCCTGCCAGCAGGGAACATGTGTTTGCTTTGCCCCTGTCATTATTTCGCCACCTGAGTTGAGTCTATCTATAGACGCCTTTGTCTCCACTGAACACAGCCCTCAAGAAGGTGACGGCGGGTCACTTTACAGGGCACATATAATTGCACACAAGCTGCTTCTGTATTTCAGAGTGTTGCACGGAGCGGCTAAGAGGGTTTCAGTATAATGTGGCAGAATTGAAAGTTAAACTGCGAATAACTTGTCGGAGGCGTTTGAGCGCAGAAGACATGGCTGTGTGTTCAGTTTTGGTTTCACAGAGGCTTGGACAATGGCATACGGCGGGCACATCGCCCACACACACAGTCATAGTAACTCACACATGCTATTCATGCTCTGTATGTGATGTGTCACCTCAGGGACATGGAGGTAGAGGATGGCAGAGCGGATCATGAGAGAAGACAGCCAGCATTACACACCATGAGGGCAATTTGTAGCAGTGGAAACTTCTAATGCCACCATCAGTTCATTAATGGTAGATTTGGAGAAGCGTAGAGTCTGTATTGATGTATAAAAGTGAAGTGCTTTTGACAATGTGTAGTGATTACTCTGTTAAGCATTGGTACAGATGCATGAGTCAGTCTTTGCTTTGAGTGGTGCTCTAAGTTGAAACACACTCATCATATACTGATGTCAAGCAGTCGCTAAACGCTGACTTTTTGCTATCAGCTCTCCATGGCTCAGTTTCAGCGCTGCCTCACTTGCTCCTAAAAAAAATCACAAGATTGCACACGTTGTATGAAAGCAGTGTAACCAATTTCACATTTATTCTGCATTCATTTTGTAGTTTCTAAGGCATAGATTGCTGATGGAGGCTGGAGTAAAGATCGACTGAACCGCCTTACCAGGGGTTTTTTACTTGTCTTGCTTTTGTATACCTTTGAGAACTTTATTTATTCCTTTTTAACACACAGTTTTGCAATCCAGTTGCCACAATAAATGTTGGCAATGTACATTTCTGCAAACCACGGATATGTAACCTTTTATGCGTTATTATAGATCGTGCATTACGCTTCATGAGGTCATGTTTAGGCACAAAAAACACTTGGCTATGAAAGGAAAAGATCATGTTCTGGCTTAAAATACATGGATATGGTGGCAGTGTCTAGCTTAAAAGCAACCAGTTTTGTTGTTTGTTGGTCACAAAAAAAGGCTTGACAGCTGTCTTACCTAGGTGTCATGCCATCCACCATCCCCTCCACCTCTTGATGACAGTCAGCTCATACACAATCCGAACTATGTCACTTGAGAAACATTGGTATGATAACAAACAACGTATCTGTGCCTGCAAAAATCTACAATGCCAACATCTTTGTGAAAGGGGTCAAGACCAACATTGTTTACCTCTTGTCTAAATTTCCATTGTGGGGTATGAAACAGTTCATGTTGTGTTTCATGATACATGAGCATAGTTATCGTCACCTTGTTCGTTGCTACAGGCCTTTAGAACGTCCCTATCCTGCACCATTTTACCAGCGTCAGTAGCCAGTCCAGTTATGCAAGGAGGAAAATTCACAAAATGTAGTATAAAGGCTACCTTATGGTTTAGACATCCAGTTGAAGTCAACCACAGCGGCACAACATCAGGTAGCCAGATCATTTTTACCATTTGACCAGAAAAAACTTCTCTCACATTTTTTTCTGGTGGAAAGTAAGAAAGGAAATTTGACTTTTGGAGTCTACACCTGGTTTATGTCGTCTTATGTGCCTCATCAAGAGGCAACCTGTCAATGAATTAGTTTGTTTGATAAAACCTAATTCTTCACTGTAACCCAGTATGACGCTGAACGTCGAGCTTTTCATGTCGCCAGTCCTCAGGCTGGTCAGATTGTTACACTGTTTGATGCCTTTGAATGATAGCTGAACCAGACGAAACTCAGCATCAAACTGGAGTCTGTCAGTGTCCCAGTTTAGCCGAGTCCAGATCTGTTTTGTTTGACTCCCTGGGAGCTCAATTAATTTGGCCTGTGAAAGTGAACTTGATCTGGTTCAACAGGCCGATGCAGCTGCTGTTGAGTGTTGATTAACTGACTGTCATGTCATTTGTACTTCCGATGTTGTTCTGGCACAAAATGAGTCAAGGTCCAGCACACAGCCATGATTTGCCACCCGAGCAGATGAATTAACATTCAGCCCACGTTATCAGGAAAATACCATTAATTCCTTCTTGGTTGGAAAGTGTTATGGAACGCCACACTTTAGTTCCACTACAGACACAGAGGATACATCACACAGTTGACATTTCCACCTGTGCAGTTCCCTCTTTGGGGATCAGGGGACCATAGTCTCTTCTCGCCACTCATTCAATTCAACAAAGCTGGGAAAAAAGACAATGTATCAGGACACTAGGGCAGAGCTTACCTGTCCAGAAGAGGAAAAACAGGCCTTGACGAATATACGTGTTGATTAACTGGAATTAATTGGATTATTTTAACCAACCGTTTATTCAGACTCATCGTCAACAGGGGAAGGAGAGACAGGAGGTAAATGCTGTGTCTTTTGGACTGATTATCCCTCTGTTCACCTGCTGCTATGTTGACAACTTGTCCATTGTTAGAGCTTTATTTTCTCTGCGGTTTTGCGCCTGTATACTCCTGTTATATTTGCCCAAGTGCAGGGAGCGGAGCTTAACTTTCTTTTCAATATTTGCTACGCTGCTCAGACAGGGGGGATGTAGTTCAAAACTCCAGATTTAGCCATCTCGTTTACTCTCTCACTCCTTTCTCTTTCTTTTTCCTATATCTCACTCATTCTGTCTCCCTCTCTTGCCGGCGGTAGACGACTGATCTGGGACAGACAGGCCTCCCATGCGCTCTGTCCTACTTCAGCGTTGTCCTCTCTCTTGTTTCTCCTTAGTCCTCTTCCTCTTTCGTTTACCTCTATCCACCTCGATCTCTTAGCGAGCTGCTCTGTCTCAGTCTCTATTAATCATTTCAGTGTCTGCAACTGTTTCATCATACCAGAATGATGGTTCTGTCTGGTGTTAATAGGCTGTCAGGGTGTTTGGGAGACAGAGGTGCCGTCATTACCAACAGTGCATTTTTCTCTACCTGGCGTGATGTAGAAAGTTGATGCCATTAAAACATTTCGCCTTTGATTCGAAGGGAGGTGCGTTTAGGAGTAAATGTAGCTCCAGAGTGTTTGTATGAGTGAGAGCACAAAATCACCCATCAGCCACGGTAATCCGACTTCCTGGTTAGCAGACTTGCAAAATTCAGTTGATATCATGATGACTCTTCTCTTGATTGTCTTGGAGTGTCTGCAGACGCTGATCTTTTTATAGTGCAGTGATGGCTGTCACTTCTCTGCAAAGTAGAGCTCAAACAATATAGCCAGTATCATGGTTTGATATTGGCTTATCACAGAGATATGTGTGTGTATGTTGGCAGATATGCAAATAGAAATTGCAGCACAGAACTGTTTCATGCTACAATTCAATGTTTTTAGGGTTAAGGTTAATATGTCATTGCTGCATTAGTTATTATTCATAATGTTTTAATTTCCACTGAAGTTTACTGACATGTTTAGCTATTACTGTCATCTTTGCTAGTAATTGTTTTACTGTAAAATATCCTGCCTTATGCTACCCTGTATTGGTCACAGTAATAACCAAATCTAGGAAAGGTCATTGAAAGTATTTGTTTTAAAACAGGAAAAAGAGTCTACAGCCACACATTACCTCTGTGAGGCTTTACGCATGCACAGCAGTGCTTTGATTTAAATGCTTATGTCTGCATGCTAACATGCCCACAGAGACAATGCTTACATGCTGATGTGAAGCAGTTATTTTTACCATGTTCACCATCTTAGTTTAACGTGTTAGCATTCCAGCTTTTGCTAATTAGCACTGAATAGCTGGGCAGAGGTGGACAGCTGAGGCTGATGGAAAGAAATGTCGTTCCTCATGCAGGTATTTGGTCAAAGTATGACCTTATGAGAGAGCTAAACATCAGAGGATCACCAAAGTTATTAGAATTCCCACCGTCTGTGCCAAGTATCATGGCAAT